CGCCGGGGGCGGTCACGCCGATCTCTCGTTCCTGCACACTGGCGTAAGTACTCTGCGCGGACAGCTCCGCCTGGTGCATTTGTTGTTGCTGCTGCGACGGCGGCTGATGCTGCTGATAGAGACTCTGATGCTGTTTGTCCTTCTCGCGGCGAGGTGACCGACCCCGGTCGCTGACGGAAGTCGCGCTCCAGTAGCCCCACGCCATTCTGTAGCGAGTCTAGCCGTGCTTGCCTCGCCTTGCTCGATCGCCGCGAGAATGTATATCCCTTTTGTTCGCTCCAACCGCGCGCGATCGCCTCGTCTCTCTGTTTTCCTGACTCTCTATCCCCCTTTCTCTCTCCCTCGTTCTCTATTTATGTATATATACCAATTGCCTTACCCGTCTCGCCCCTTGCCTCGTTCTCTCTTCCCTTCTTTCGATTTCGTCTCTTTCTCCTTCACCGCGGTCGACCTCTTACAGGAGCCGCCGGGATGAGCATGCGGCGAATCACCAGCCTCGATCAATGCTAGTTTACCGCCTCTTTTGAGACCTCTCTCCACTCGCGGTGTGGCGAGCCAAGCGCGCCGACAACCACCGTCGAATATCGCCGTCGTAGTCGAAGCACACAATGACGCAACCCCTTTTTCGTGGCCCAGTAAGCTATCGAAGAGGTTCTTCGCAACCCTGCGGCGACTCCCGGCTCGACTTCCTCGCTCCACAGCACTTTCCTCCCACCTGCAGCGACCCAATCTTGGGGATCTCACAGCCAGATTCGCGTCGACGGTAGCGTGTGACGTGTATGTGCACCCTTGCTGATCAGTCCGTGCAAGGATATCGACTACCGCCGCGGCGAGATGCGTTAACCGCCACCGCCGCCACCGCCGTCGTCGCCGCCCGGCGCACGCTACCGACCGAATCGCGCAAACGCAGATCACGCCGAGGTGGAGGTGATACATGTATCCCCCGTCGTCCCCGTCGCTGCCGGTCCTACACCCGCCTATATCCACCCACAACTTCTGCCTCTCCCAAGCTCTACCTCTTTCTCTCTCCCGCTCGCTCTTCTTCATGCCTTTGCTGTTTGTTCACTGATTATCCAGCGATTCTTCTTGTCACCGTTTTCAAGTAAACTTTGCGCTCCTCACCGACGCCTCATATTACATTATATGTTTCCTGTCCTTTTTGTTAACTCCATTTCTTCCAGTCAACGACTCTCTATCTTTTGTATCTTTCTGCTTTTACCGGGGATTTCAAGGAAGACCGTTCCATTCCACAACATGCAATTCACCCTATTCTACTTTATTCTTTGCTCTATTTTTCTGGCTTTTTCTATTTTTTATTTTGATCGTTGACTATTTGTCTCTTTGAGTTATTATCTTGCATTTCCGCGCCTTCAGCCGCTACTCCGCCGATTCTTCCTCGTTCTTTCGTGACAGTCATCGCTATTGCTCCAACCAATACCGCACAAACCTATACATTTATAAGGATTGACGCGTGTCATATGCATCGAGAAACTGACAATGAAAGTTTGTCGATATTCGTGTGGCGATGTCCGATCATTTCACATGTACCGAATAAAATTCGTGTACCAAGTTTGGTTTTCATTAACAAATTATTGATTTTTACTAGGCTCCGGAAAAGAGATGCAATCTTATTAAGCTACGTTTAATAAGTTATGTTCTTAACTAAGAGAATTATTTATGGGAACAATATATTTAACCTGACTCTGTAATCCTTCGAGTATCAAGTATTTTAATTAGCTGTACTTTCTCATTATTTTAGAGCTCTCTGATTGGAAAAGTTCGCAACCGATATTTTCGACGATCCATACTTCGCAAATTAATTCTCCTTCGATCAAAAACAAGGAAATATATTAGGTATACAAATACCCTTTTTTTCTTTGAGACATTAATAGGCTTGTTCTTTCTAACTGAACTCCTTACATGTTCATTTTTACAGGTTCATTTTTCTCTTTTCGTCTCCATGTTGGAGAAAAAAAAGAGAAAAAATGAAGCATGGGAGAAACTCAGCTAGAAAGGATAGGCCTAATCTTTGAAGCTCGAAGGGATTGTTCCGTCAAAGGGATTCGATTATCATTAAAGTGGAGAGAAGTGAAAGAAGAGGTGACAGCAAAGTCCATCAGACCGGAAATGTATGCGCGATCACGATAAGGTTCTCCTTCCAAGAAGTATCCTGCTGTCGCACAAATGAGATCCGTATCAAATTATCCCGGGAGATCTCGGAGAGCTGATGAATTTCTAAATGTATCATGTGCCTGCACATAGAATCTTCGTGATCACGCAGACACGCGCGATCCGAGAATGTCGTCATCCTTGAGAAATCGCACACCGAATCGATCGATGTGTACCGAATAAACACCGGCACTACGGTCAGGCACCGATGAAGCTGTTTCGCCGTTAATCGCCAACTCATATCGGCGATAAACCACCGATAAGGCGAGTATCGTCGAAGCGTACATACCGTTATCCAAGGCGCGTATCAATACTTGAAAGTGCGGCTGCACACGTGCATTTAGTGCGCTACCGCTAATATGCACGGCCAAGATATATCAGTTAGGCGCAATTTATGGGCGGCTTCTTATCTAAACGACGGCCATTAATGTTGGAATATTAAAGACATCGGTGGACATTACCGATGAACCTATTTTGTCACATACATATGTATGCGCCTTCGCTAGTTCGCTACCGGGCGCTGATTCTACGCGCATGATTCACGAGTACGGTACTCCATTCCTAATTATATAAGTGCCTAGCATGCAAGTGATTATCGTCGATTGCAAATGCGCAGTCTTTGAGCGATTAATGGGTCGCTAAAATCAAAGCAACATGCGAGATATTTGCAAAATATCCAATGCGTAAAGCCTTATACATAATGAAAAACATAGACAATAAAAATAGAAAATAACGATAAGATTTCAATGTATAAGAAATATGTATCAATAGGTACACTATTTTTCATAGGTTGAAAATCCTATTATCTGTAGTAGTAGAGAATAACACAGGCAATAAGATCATAATTTATAGGAAACTATGTACTAATAAATACACAATTTTCCATAGGTTGAAAATCTTATTATCTGTATTAGTACAGAATAACACAGTAATAAGATTTCAACCTATAAGAAACTTAATATCAATACACTAAGAAAAATGTACTAAATTTAATAAACATTTGTTGAAGAATATTAACTTAACATTTATTTACTTACGGTAAATATTTATACTAAATAAAAAATAGATTTAAATCAAATTAATGATTCTAAATAAATATATATTGAAATTACGTTTAAATATTCAGATAGTACTATATATAGAAAATATTATAATTCATTAAAATTTAGTAAATTTTTCTCTTAATGTAGATACACGGTTTTCCATAGTTCGAAAATCTTACTGCCTGTATTAGTAGAGAAGAACACAGGTAATAAGATTTCAACATATAAGAAATTGTGTATCAATTGATATCAGTTTTCCGTAAGTTAAAATTTTATTGCCTGCATTATTCTCTATTCCTGTTTTGCCTATGCTTTTATGCTAATGTATAAGGTTTTAATGAAATCCAATGTAAATAGCCTGACTGACCGTGGATAGTTATTTCCGTGTCCTTCTCGAGTTCATACAGCCTCAGCGCTTCATCCAACTCCTGCTGCGAGGCGATCCTGCATGGGTCGCCTTCGTCATCCACCCACTTCATCGTAAATTGCTCTGTGCCGAAGCCACATATCGTTCGCATCTCCTCGCGCAATGCATCCACTGAAATGCCGGGAGTGATGTACGTGATTTGTATTTCCCTAATGCAGGAAAATGTTACGTTACATATTTGTCTTAAAATCTTTCCTATTTTTTTTCGACTTGTATAATCCTTATTGATCTTATTAACATCTTAAATATCAATATCCCTTATTAATCTTTCTTTGAGAACTAATCCTGATACCACCTAGTGTATTATATTTGTTGTTAATTCTCTGGAGCTGATGACAAAATCCATAACACAGTTATTGATTTCTATAAAACCTATATAATTTGTTAATTAAAAAAGATAATACTAATTAATTTAAAGATATCAAAATGACAATAAAAAGAATACTAAAATACTGAATGTTGAAAAAAAATTTTTTAATAAGTGAGAGAGAGAGAGAGAGAGAGAGAGAGAGAGAGAGAGAGAGAGAGAACCAAGTATAATAAGAATAATAAAGTTTAATAAGAATAATCCCCAAATTTGCAGATGTAATAAAATGGAATTAATATTTTTGACAACAAAATTTATAATAGAGTGAATCCAGTGTACCCATCGTCAGCTCCAAAGGATTAATAATCAATATGACTAATTATTAAAAGATATTTGATATATTGAAATCAAAATAATGTAAATTTAAAACTCGAAAGAAATTAATTGTTATTTTGTAAAATCAAAGATAAACTGTTTAAAACAGTTTTTATAACAACATATATTACCCATTATATACAATTTTCACTCGAATGTCATCGTTCTCTGCCGTCTGTGTAGGCATTTTCAAAACAATGGTCTCCTATTCTGAAAGTACAACAATCCAACCAAATAATTATAGTAAATAAACAATATAAAAACTCAAATAAAGATCACTACATCGGATTTAAACTTATCATAATGTAATTATCACTAATAAATGTAAAGAAAAAATAATACATATACCACCATAAAAACACCCAACGATTAGGATGACATAACGATACAAAATTTGACTTTCCCACGGACGTGATTGACGTGCGGTACGATTTGATCGCTTTGTTGTGTCTATTCGCGATTGTACATTAAGAAAAAAGACCAGGATGTTGAGTAACAGTCATCGCCCGAAGAAAGAAAGGCAGTGCGAAACGACAGATCACGGAACAAGAAAGCGGACGCGAGAAATCGACACCGGTCGGCCGTTATGATCAGCTCTCTTTTCGCGCAAACGTCTCAATTAGCCTGCGGATCCTAATGGATAATCGTCAGTCTTCAATCAACTGTCAATTAGCGGACTCATGGTACTCAAATAAGTGCGTGCGTGCACGAGCCTCTGTGACTCACCGCGATGAACCGCTGTCGCGAACCACCACCACCGCCGTCGTCGCCGCGGATGCACTAGTTGCACACACCGTTGCACGGGCGGAAGATCTCTTAGGGAGACTCGGGCTGCGCTTCTACACGTAGAAAAATGTAGAAAAAAGTAGAAAACGGCTCGCTGGCGCGGTATGCGGAGTGATGAGCACGGCGACGCGGTAACATCAACCTAAAAACCGTAAGGCACTCGTTAACGCGGTGTAAAGCGTTGTTACTTGGCAGACGCCATGATTGTTGGACACCGACTATCGCGACGCGACCTGTGCTGTTGTTGGTGCGCGAGCTTTGTGCTAGATGGCGTTACTTGTCGTGTTTTTGTAGCGGTCGTTCTATATAAATTAAGGTACATAGTGCGGAGCATTAATTCGCTGGGTCATAGTAGTGGCTTGACTTATCGACGCTGAGTCGGTAACGCGCGCGCGCTTGAAATAAGAAGAGTATAGCGGGGAGCACAGACTCTTGCATAACGCATAACACATGAGGCATAAGAAATTGAACCAACCAGAGTTCTCTATTACATGGAAGGGAAAGAAACGGAGAACTTCGATTGGTACATATTTTTATGCATTACGTGTTATGCGTTATGCAAGAGTCTGTGCTCCCCGCTTTACTGACAAACTGTATAGAAATTATTGCGTTTTTTTCCTGTTGCATATAAAATTGTATATTCCTGCAGAAATGCATGAATTATATCTTCGTTATGTTTACACAGAGTTCTTTATATCTATATATTTATGATTTATTCAAAGAAAAGGAGCATAAAACCACGCACAAGATGTATTATGTGATATTTAATAATATATTACAAGTTTTGATATCAATTCTTAGACGTTTCGGCTAATATTTGGCCATCTTTAGTAAATATAAAATAATCTCGCATTCGATATAAGAATTATATAAATAAAATTCCGCAATCATATATAAATTAAATTAAAATCCACGCTCTTTGTCGCATAATTCATGATCATCCTAACTGTGATTGATAAGCACGTAGCATTGAATGTGTATATAGAAAGAGAATTTCCAGATTCTAATATGAACAATATGTGAAAATTATTATCATCGCTTTAATTTAAAAAGTTATAATCATTACCTGTTTTTACAGCAATTCGTTGAAACAAGTATTACATCGTTGAATCTTTGACAAAGCCAGATGGAAAATCATCGTGATAGCATGTACATTTGTTTGTCATATTTTGTTGTGTGTCGGATAT